GAGACCGGCGAGAGCAGCGGGGAAAGCGACGAGAGCTGGGGAGATGGTGGAGACGGGCGACAGATTGGAAGGTTTGTGGCGAGAAGTTCGTAGCAGCGTGGAGAAGAGGAGCCCGGATTGGATTTCAAAATCCAGCCCATTTACTATGGATTTCAAAATCCATTGTTTACGGGATTTTAAAAAGTAGACGGGATTCCAAATCCAACCCATTTAGCAAACCAAACAAGGGATGGAATGGATTTCAAATCCAAATCCCTCCAAATCCCTCAAACCAAACGCGCCCTTAGTTCATTGATTATCTTAATTATATTTTTGATATTTTATATTTAAAATAAAATGTTTATCTTGTATTTGATTATGTTTATCAAGAGGTGCGTTATTATGCAACCATTTACATTTGTATAACCAATACAACTCGATCTCAACCGTTTATTTAATTTAATAAATATGTGATTTCATAGAAGTTTTAATTGTTCCTTAATATAAATATTGATATAATTAATGAACCCTAGTCATCTTCCGTAAATATTCAAATCATAATAAATGAACTCTCATCATTTTCATAAATATCTCAATTGATTAAGTTGAATTGATTGTACAAATGTGATGGGTTGCATTTGAAACGTCCTTTGTGTATTAATTAGTTATATTAATTCAAACATACAACATTAAGGAGTTGTACACATGCATCATTTACATGTAATCTCCAATTTTAAGTAATATGCATCAGTAAACAATATTTAATGCATAAAAAAAATATGAGTTTACCTCAAATGGTTTATAATGTGAATATGGATATTTGGCTCTTAAATAAGTGTTTATATTACTGATATAGTGGATTCTAAAATAAGTGTCTATATTACTGATATAGTTGGTTCTAAAATAAGTGTTCACTTTTATAAGTAAATGTCTATTTTCCAAATTTATTGCATTATTTATACTATTGAAATATTTAATAAATTTAATATCTTAACAAATGTTTTAATCATCTGTTACTCTAGATGAGTAAAAGATTAATTATGTATCAAGTCTTCTTCAGAAGCGGAACATAAATGGACTGGATCAGCAATAGTAGAGGGACCGAAAAGAATTTTATACTTAAAATCTTAATGAACTGTAGATGTTTCACTCTATCTAAAAAAAGCCCAGGGGTCGAGGCCCCTATGGCCATCCACCCCTGTTCTTCAAAATTTGTGGCAAAAAATAGAGAAGTAAAAAATTGAAAACTTTTCAAAATAAAACAAAATATTGTATTTAATCCCAACAATTTATTTTTTAATTATATTACTAAAATATTTAATTAATTTAATACCTTGATAAACTATCTCCTCCAAATATGAATGAAACTTTTCCAGAAATTTGCTTTCAACTAAAAAGAAATTTAAAGAAGCAAAACTCAAATTCTTCAAAAAAAAAAAAAAATGGGTTCAATTTAGACAGTTTGTTTATTTTAAAAATTACAATATTAATATATTTAATTAAATTTAAGGTCAAATTGCATGAAAAAATAACGTACTTT